TCAGAATGATCATTATTAAAAAGTCAAGAAAACAATAGACATTGGTGTGGGTACAGAGAAAAGGAACACTTATACACTGCTGGTGGGAATGTAAATTAGTATAACCTCTCTGAAAAACAGTATAGAAATTTCTCAGACAACCAAAAGTAGATCTATTATTCAATCCAGGAACCCCACTCTTGGTTATCTACCCAAAGGAAAAGAAGTCATTATATCAAAAAGACACCTGCACATGCCTGTTTATTGCAACACAATTTACAATTGCAAAGATATGGGGTAAATTTAAGTGCCCATTAACTTAAGAGTGAATGAAAAAATAAGACATATTATAAGTGAGAACATGCAGTATTTGCTTTTTCATTCTTGAGTTACTTCACTTGGTATAACAGCCTCCAATTCCATCCAAGTTGCCACAAAAGACATGATTTTTTTCTTTTTATGGTAGAGTGTAGCATGAATGAACTATGCAGTTATCATGCTATGCAAAAAAGTCCAGTCACAAAAGACAAATACCGTATGATTTGATTTTTATGAAGTACCTAAAACAGTTAAATTCATAGACACAGAAAACAGGATGTTTTGTTTTGTTAGAATGGTTGCTAGGGGCTGGGAAGAGGGAGAAATTGTACATTGGGTATAGAGTTTCTATTTTGCAAGATGAAGTAATTCTGGAAATAGAGGTGATGGTTGTAAAACAATGTGAATGTACTTAATGTCCCTAAATTATGCATTTAAAATGTCTGATATAGCAACTTGTATGTTATGCATATTTTGACACACTTTTTAAAAATGTTTAAGGCTTATACATCATGACAAAGTAGAATCTATACCAGAAATGCAAGAGTGGTTCAACAAGAAAATCAATCACTTTAATCCATCACATTATTAGCATGAAAGGAAAAAAACAATAATGGGATTATCTCAAGAGAAGCAGAAAAAGCATAGGACAAAATTCAACACTCTTCAGGATAAAATCACCCAAAAACTATGAACACAAGGAAAATTCATCATCATCATAAAATATATTTATAAAAACTCCAAAGGTACTTCATACTAAATTGTGAAAGTCTAAAAGCTTATGCCCTAAAATCAGGGAGGAAAAAATAAATGTATACACTTTCACCACTACTATTCAGCGTAGTACTTAAAGTCCAAGCCAGAACAATTAGGCAAGCAAAAGATATAAAAGGCATTTAGATAACGAAGGAAGATGTAAAACTATTTCTATTTAAAGATAACAGGATTCTATATAAAGATAAGTCCATACAATCCACACAAAGAAAACTAGAGCTAATAAGTTGTATTAATCCATTCTCATGCTGCTAATAAAAACATATCTGAGACTTGGTAATTTATAAAGAAAAGAGGTTTAATTGGCTAGCGATGCCTCAGGAAACTTACAGTCATGGTGGAAGGGAAAGCAAGAGGATATGTTTATGTCCTTCTTCCCAAGGCAGCAGGAAGGAGAAGAATGAGAGCTGAGCAAAGGGGGAAACCCCTTATAACACCATGAGAGCTCAAGAGAACTTACTCACTATCATGGAAATATCATGGTGGAAACTGCTCCCGTGATTCAGTTACCTCCTTCCAGCTCCCTCCCACCACATGCGGGGAATATGGGAACTATAATTCAAGATGAGATTTGGGTGGGGACACAGACAAACCATATCATAAATGCTTTAGGCAAAATCTCAGAGTATAAGATCAATGCAAAACTCAGCTGTGCCCCAGCAATGAACAATCTGAAAATGAAATCAAGGAAATAATTACATTTGCAATAGCCTGCAAAGGAATGAAAGCTCTAAAAATCTATAAACAAGGAGGTGAAAGATTCTCACACTGAAAATAATCAAACGTTGCCTAAAACAATATAAAAATATCTAAATAATAAAAAAACTCATACTCTAGAGTTGAAAGACATAAGATTGTTAAGATGGCAATGCTCCCCAAAGTAATGTAAAGATTCAGTGTAATCACTATTAAAATTCTAATGGCCTGTTTTGCAGAAATGGGAAAGCCAATCCAGAATTTATATGCAACTACAGGGATTGGAATCAATTTCCAACTTGAAAACTTCGAAACAAAGCTATATTAGTGAAAGCAGTGTGGTACTGGCATAAGGAAAGACAAGATTAATGGAATAAAATTTAAATCCCAACAGAAATGTAAACATCTAAAAGGTAAAATCCCAAACATAAATGTAAACATGAAAACAGTGTGGTACTGGCACAAGGAAAGAGAAGAACAATGGAATAAAATTTAAATCCCAAACATAACTGTAAACATCAATAGCCAGTTCATTTTCAACAAGCATCCCAAGACCATTCAATCTAAAGGAAGAGTTTCTTCAACAAACAGTGCTGCAACAATTTGATAACCAAATGCAAAAGAATGAAGTTAGACTCCTACCTCATTTCATATGCAAAATATAACTGAAAGTGAATGAAAAACTCAAATATGAGTTAAAACTATAAAATTCTTAGAATAAAACATAGGGGTAAATATTAATGCCTTCAGATTTGGCAATGAATTCATAGATTTGACACTAAAGCAACAAAAGATTAAATAGATAAACTGGACTTTAGAAAAGTAAAATGTTTTTGTACATCAAATCAAAAAACAGAGAAAAAAGGAAACAAACAAAATAAATAAAATAATAAAAATAAAATGTTTGTACATCAAAGAACATAATTAAGAATGTGAAATCACAACCTACAGAATGGAAGAAATTATTTTTCTTGTCATACATACATCATATCATACATAGGGATTTAATGTTCAGAATGCACAAATAATTCTTACAGTTCAACAATAAAATGATAAGCAACTCAATTAAAGAATGCACAAAGGATGCGAATAACATTTCTATAAAGGACATATGAAAATAGGAAAAAATATATGAAAAGATGTTCATTTTCATTGGTCATTAAGTATATATAAGTCAAAATCACAATGAAATTCCACTTTGCACTGACACAAAATACTGTAAAATTAAAAAATATTAACAGATAGAAAAATAGGAACCCTCAAATATTGCCAGTGGGATTGTAAAATGGTGCATTCAGTTTAGAAATGTTAATTGCTTGTCAAAAAATTAGACATAAAATTACCACATGACCCAGAATTAACACTCCTAGGACTATACCCAAGGACAATGAAAGTATGTCCATGAAGAAACTTATAACAAATACACATAGCAGCATTATTTATAAGAGCCATAAGATGAAAATAACACAAATATACACCAACAGATGAATAATTAACAAATTGTTGTTATGTGTACATGTATAATGGAATATTAGCCACAAAAAACAAAAATGCTGACATATGCTACAACTTTTTGGAGCCTCCATGTCATTATGGTAAGTGAAAGAAGTCGGAAACAAAGGTCACATATGCTAGCAATAGGGAAATCCATAGAGACAGAAAGCAGATTACTATTTACTACATGATGAGGTAGGAATGAGATGTGATCATTTAATGACTATGGTATATTTTTACAGAGTGATAAGTTTTGAAAGTAAAGAGAGCTGTTAATTGCACAGCATTGTGATTACATTAAATACCAATAAAGTATACACTTTAAATTGGATAATGTATGGATTGTGAATTCCACCTCAATCTTTAAATGTCATAATTCATTGAATCAATCTACAGATTTAATGCAATTCTTGTCAAAATCCCAACTGAATTCTTTGGGGAAATGAACAAGCCTATCTTAAAATTCATGTGGAGACTCAACAAACCCAAAATAAACCAAATAGTCTTAAAAGAACAAACTTGGCCGGGTGTGGTGGCACATGCCTGTAATCCCAGCACTTTGGGAGGCAGAGGCAGGCCAATCACAAGGTCAAGAGATCGAGACCATCCTGGCCAACGTGGTGAAATCCTGTTTCTACTAAAAATACAAATATTAGCTGGGCGTGGTGGTGTGGATCTGTAGTCCCAGCTACTCGGGAGGCTGAGGCAGGAAAAGCACTTGAACCTGGGAGTCAGAAGTTGCAGTGAGCCAGGATTATGCCACTGCACTCCAGGCTGGCAATAGAGCGAGACTCCATCTCAAAAGAAAAGTAAAAATACAAATAAAAATGAAAAAAAATAAAAGAACAAACTTTGAGGACTCTCATTTCTTGGTTTTAAAACTTGATACTATGGTATCAAGCTATTGCATTTAAGATGTAGCTATAGTAATTTACCTATAGTAATTCAGTATAGTAATTCAGCTATAGTAATTAAGATTTCAAAATGATGTATTACCAGCATAAGGACAGAAATAGATCAATTGGGAAGAATTGGGAGCCCACAAACAAACTTTCCCCTTTATAATCAATTGGTGTTTGGTAAGATTGCCAAGACAATTCAGTAGGAACAAAAAGAGTTTGTTCAATAAACAGTACAGTGACAATAGGATTCATGCTTACAGGTTACCTGAGAGACACCAACCTCTAACTCCTTATTGGTGCAAATTCACTTTAGGTTGCACCAAATTCAGGTTTCTCTGTTCCATCCACCTACTCTTTCTTACCATATACCTCTCCACAAACTACTCAACCCATCTGAAACCTCTCCCCTGTTCCTTACTGTAAATAATTTAAGGTATATTTCAATCTATGGGACATTCAGGAAGTCCATCTTGGTTAAGCCATTCTTTTCCATTCTCACATACATTATGTGTAATGATAATGCCCATATTCAATTTATGGTAATATTTTATATTTGCTACCTCATTTGTAATTGCTTCCCTTTGGCTGCAGTGTCCATTCTATTCTCCTCTGGTAGATTATTTTTATTTGAAGAAGAATGTCAATGTATTCTAGCCATTTGATAATCTTACGTTTTCCATGATGTTTACTGCAGACACACAAATACTATATATTCTTAAAATGCTAATCAAGCATTATGGGTCTGACCGTTTAAACATTCCTAATAATTAGAGAAGGATTTAATGAAGCACGAAATGGAAAAGAAATCAAAATGCTGATCTGTTGCAAACGTCTTACCTGCTCCATTTTAATCAGGAAGCAATCAATAAAGTCCCGAGGATTGTTAATGTCCAGTGATTCTTGGTGTTCTTTTACTTTCTCCAAAATATAACTTTTTGTAAAAGCACCATTTTTAAGGAATTTGTTGTGAGTCCCTGGGAAGTAATCGATGAGAAAAGGAAAAATATTGCAAACCTAAAAAAAAAAATGATTAAATATAAACACATCATAAAGACATATGTACCATATACCAAGTCCTGATTAGAAATTATAGCTATAAACATAAATAATATATGGTATAGATCTTAATGGGTAAATTTTTATTGTGAATATACAGCAGTTCTCTCTACTCACAGAAAGATTTGAGGGAGAAAATTCTGACCAGAGAATAGAAGATGAGAGTTATTTTCTATATAATACATTATTTTTATTGAATAAAAGTATCTTTATGTCAATTTTCTCATTTTTACAACAATTCTTGCCTACAACCTTGAAATATAAGACGGTATAAAGTACTATGATTCACATTTAGTAGATGACACCAATGTTAAGGGAGTTTGGTCAACGTGACTGGAGCACAAAGATAGTCCCTGCTATTTTCATTTCCACATAGCAGCCTCAAAAATGGAACAAGTATTTTAGAAATTAGAGGCGCTCAAAGATACCTTGAATCCCAACTGTACACCTAAGCAGTTAAGTGACTTCCGTACGATCACACAATTATTATTCAGGCAGAGCCTAGGGCATGCTAACTCAGCACAGGGTAAAATTGGGATGTTTGTTTCTGGTTCATACACTATAAAGCCAATTATTTAGTCATTCCTAATCCAGTTACCTCATCAACCAGGATCCCAAATGGAGCACCAAACACCCCTGCCCGACTCAGTGTTTTCTGGTAGCGTTTAGATATTTTTTTTTTCTTTTTTCTTGAGACGGAGTCTCGCTCTGTTGCCCAGGCTGGAGTGCCGTGGTGCAGTCTCGGCTCACTGCAAGCTCTCCCTCCTGGGCTCACACCATTCTCCTGCCTCAGCCTCCTCCTGAGTAGTTAGCACGACAGGCGCCCGCCACTGTGCCCAGCTAATTTTTGTATTTTTCGTAGAGATGGGTTTCACCTTGTTAGCCAGGATGGTCTCGATTTCCTGACCTCGCGATCCGCCTGCCTCTGCCTCCCAAAGTGCTGGGATTACAGGCGTGAGTCACCCCGCCCGGCTTTTTCTTTCTTCTTGAAGGAGATATTCCCTTCCCAAATTAGGATATTTCTGCCAAGTAGTATGGTGAAGAGGTCTCTAAGTGTGAACTGGAGGACGAAACTAGTGAGTAATGGAAGCCTTCAGAAAGGGCCCAGATGTCCATGGAATGACGTGGGCATGTTTTTGGGCGGTCATCAAAGTACAGAAACACGGCTTTAGGGTTTAGCAGGAAAGCCACGAGTCGGGAAGCTAACAGACTTGAAAGTCAGGCCAATATTCAGGCATTAAGTGTCTTTGTGTAAAATGAAAGGCTCAGTCATCTTTCCCAGATGTTTACTTGAATTTCTGGGGAGGACTGTGGCGTTCAAACAGGCACTTCAAGGATTAGTTCACACAGAATTTTGGACTTAAAAGAAAAGAGAGTGATTTTTTGGGAAGATAAAATCCTGGCCTCACCTGGATCCATGGGGTGCTTGCAATCCTGAAGTTCTCATTGAATCTTTCCATTAAGGTAAGAAAATTCTTATCTTCATACTGAAATCGATTTTGGAAAACGATGGAGCAGATCACATTGCAGGGAGCACAGCCCAGGATGAAAGTGGGATCACAGGGTGAGGCTAAAGGATTGGAAACAACTTTAAAATTCAATTAAAATATAAATAATTTTAAAATATGCGTTTGTTAAGATGTAAAGGAAATTTAGAAATTGTAAGCAATTCCTGACAAATTCCTCTTGCACCTCAAAAATAAAAATCAGCATGTGTGAAATCAGCGCATCAGTTTTACCTGAAATCTGAGTGGAGTATAACAACCTAGATCGTTAAAGACTGGCATTTCACATGTGGCAATTCACACCCACTGCCTTTATTTAAACCCTTATAACCCAAGGTATCCGCTATTTTGGAATTAAAAGAAGACGTTCGAAAAACTCTAATTGCGTTTTTCAAGCAGAATCACATCTGTCTGCAATGCCCATGGACAATAAAGCACAAAGGGAGAGAAAAGTTGAGGACCTAGAAACTTTTTATACATAATAAATAGCTAAAAGAATTGTGTTACATTAGTAAAGAGGAGCTAAAGTTAGAGAGACTGTGGGTGAATTCACATGGTTGAAGAAAAAAAAATGTAAAAAGCAGAATACGTCCATGTTATATGAGAAGAAAAACTAATATAAATGAACTATAAACATGAAAGTGATTTTATTATCCAAAAAATAAAAAATAAAATGAAAACTTTTTATTTCAACATAAATCCCAGTAAGGCAAACAAAAAGTAAAAGTAAACTGATAATGGAGACTTTTTATTTCTTATTTCAATGTTTAAAACAATGAATTTCATTTCTTAGGAACTATTGTTTATTATTCCCAGTCATGCTCCAAATTTAATTCATTTGGACAAAACCACTCTTGAGGATTCTGGAACATTGTTCCATATAGCCATCAAGATAAGCATGTTTTAATAAATTTTTAAATTTTCACCATATGTTAGAGTAAGTATATCATTTTATGGGTAAATAAATTAAATTATAAGAAAGGTTTTCTTTTTTAGTAGGGGGGGTTCTCTAAGTGAAATTGTTGCAATCAAGTGATGAATAAACTTTATATGTAAAGAGTTCCCAAATTCGCATCTATATATCCTAAATAAGGTGAAGTAAATTGAAAGTGTTCTAAATAAATGGAAGGACATTAAACAACAGGAAACCTGTTGAGTTAGCTGCTTTCAAGCTGGGTTCCTGTAAACATAACAGTGTTCTAAGCTTTCAGAAAAAGGTTTATTTTAGCTGAGGGCATGGAGGGTAATTTCAGAAGCCTTGAGGATTGTATGTGTGCATGTGTTTATGTGTTTACTGAGGTAAAATCTGATTTTCAGTCTTTCCATTCACTGCGCTTAGAAGAGATAATTTTTTAAAAGTTAATTTGGAATCCTAGCTGATATTCAGATTCACTGTGACAAGCCCCTCATAGGTAAGTAGAGTTGGCACGGGGAGGAAAGGAATTACCATAAATGTCCAAGCTAAAATCCAATAAACAAGAGGAAAAGATAAGCAAAACTGAAAGCAGAGCCTTATTACATTTAAGAAAAACAGAATAAAGAGCTATTCATAATAGTTAAACAGATCATTTATAAATTGGTATTTATATATTTTGCTGAAACATACCATAGCATATGCTTACTCAAAATTTGTAAATTGCTACAATAAGCAATGGTTAATAAAAAATAATTAATCCTGATATTTTCCAAATAATACCGTATTTCCTGAGAAATAACAACTGAGAACTGCACTGAGATACAATTAAACAGGTAAAACCATACATAGTATCACCACTGGCCAAAACTATAGGCATGAACCTGGGAGAAATCCCCAGACATGTCAGTGAGTTTGACCATATGAATAAAGTTCAGTTAAATGAAAGCACATGTCACTTGGTTCATGTTCCATAAGGATGTGATGGGGTAATTCCCACCATGTTCACTAGCCAAGTATTTTCTGGTGAAATGTTCTGAAAGCTGGAACCCAGGTTTATGCTATAGGGTAAACATTGCTGTTAAATGCTTTTCAAAATGATGCAGTGATGCACAGTAGAGTCACTCACCGTTGGTTTTTCTCAACTCCTCCACAATACAGCGGGCTTCCTTTTGAACGCAGTCCTCAATGCTTCTCTTACCCATCCCAAAATTTCGCAAGGTCAAAAGAGAGAAACGCCGCATCTCTTTCCATCTCTTTCCAGTGCTGAAAATGATTCCTAACAAAAAAAGAACAGAAACTAGGAGGGGATTCTCAGGTAAAGAAGATGAAGATGAAACTCAACAGCCATGCAGATGGGCTAAGCTCTGCCTTCAAGTCTCTGCTTTTCATCCTCCTAACCCTAATTACCAATGCTGACACAGGCACCTGCACACTTACCATGCCCTTTCTGACTTCTTTCAATTAGTGGCAAAGCACCTCTCCCAGAAAACTCCTCTCCATGATCAATCAGGGCTTCCTTCAGAGCTTCATATCCATGCAAAACCACAGTGGGCTTTAGGCCAAAATACACAGTGAACACAGGGCCATAGAGTTTTGAGAACTGGGAAAGGAGATGCAAATAGCAGCAAAATAAGTGGCTGTTTGGTTCAAATATTATGCATGATTCAGACTGATATTATCATTGTATAGTTTAATGTTTATATTTATTACACACAGATTTGATATTTCTGAATTTTATACATAAATGTGATGGTGATTGCTATAGCTGCCATTTTAGATGGCCTGTGACATGCCATGTAATGACCCAGGCAATTGGTGCACAAGTCACGGTTCATCCTCACTTTAACACATTCAGCACATTTATTTGCCCTGTTTTATAAATAAAGAAACGGAGGTCAGGAGAACTCCAAATTCATTTTCAGAGTCCCACAGGTAGTCTATAGAAGCTCCAAACTGGAACTTCTGCTAATTTAAACTCTGATGCTTGAGCAATTTATCAGTGCCCCGTGTCCACCTTGAGACCAATACCCAGCTGACAATTTTAGTGTCACCTGGAAGGCTCCAACAGTAAGGATTCTGACTCAGTAGTCCTGTGATGAACACTAGTAATCCATATTTTATAAGGCACTCCAGGTGATTCTAATACCAAGTCAAGTTTCTAACTGCTGCTACTGCCAATACAGAAAAAGTAAGCACCACAGAGACAGAAACAGGACATTCAGCATCTGCTGGAAGAACAATGTCTTCCATCCTCCAGTAACCTTAGCCACAGATGGCAGTTTTATGCAGAATTCAAAAGAACTCTGTTACCATCAATTGGTCCCTGACTGAATATGTCTTTCTTTCATCTACTTATGTTGATCCTGAACCCATAGCTGTTGCCTTCACATTAAGCATTAATTTATTCTTCAGAGAACTTCAATTTTCATAGCAATTCTGAATAAAACACATGATTAATAGAATAGATGACTTATTGGATAACAACTTTAAACTCATACACTTTCCTTACAATTTACCTTCAGCCAAAAATTAGAGCAAAGTGGTATGAAGCAAAAAAGAGAACCATCACTCCAAACTTTTTCCACTATATTGATTTGATTCTACCATATACTGACCAAAATGTTTCTCCACTCACAAAATACATTAACTCATCCCACTATTTCCCACAATGACAGAATGGAAAAGACAAGAGAAATATCAAAGTTTGCAGGGAGTATTTTGTTTTACAGTGATCCATTTTAATAGTGTGGTACCAGGAATATATTTTATTTAAAAATAGAAGTCAAAGAACTTACCCTTTTCAAGTCACTGGAGGAATATAAAGCATACTTACATTGCTGAAAGATTTGCTGATATTCCTAATATCTAACTGTAGGATATTTCCAATAATAGGGAGAGGAGTGGGGCCAGGAGGGAGCTTCCCTCTCCCAGAATTCTGTCTCCAGAGTGAAAGGAGGAGCAAGCAGGAGAGACAGAGCACCAGGACCACAAAAGGATCCATTGAAGCCTTCTCTTCTTACTAAGACAACTGGCAGCTTGCACCGCAAGGCTTTTATATCTCTCCCCGCTAATTCAGGCATGCCTCGTTAACATGTACGGTGACCAATCACCTAGATACACATTATGCTATTTTCTGAATGGACTTTGGCTCATTGAGCAATTAAAAATATTTTTTAGTCTTGTTGTCTTTTTCTTTCCAGTGTCCACCCAGGACACTGTGGTTTAATTGCATTGGATTGGAGTCTAGGTAGTGATAATTAAAAACATAAAAGACCCTGGTTGTTTCGATGTGCAATGATGATGGAGAAACACTGAAGTCATTTACACTGGATGCTAGAAAATCACTCAAAAGTCAGTATTCTTCACATTAATGACCAGTTGGGAATTTATGACTTTGAGAGAAATCAGTGTATTCTATGCCTCATATAAAGAAAAATGTAACAACAGGTGCTGGAGAGGATGTGGAGAAATAGGAACACTTTTACACTGTTGGTGGGAGTGTAAACTAGTTCAACCATTATGGAAAACAGCATGGCGATTCCTCAAGGATCTAGAACTAGATGTACCATATGACCCAGCCATCCCATTACTGGGTATATACCCAAAGGATTATAAATTATGCTGCTATAAGGACACATGCACACGTATGTTTATTGCAGCACTATTCACAATAGCAAAGACTTGGAATCAACCCACATGTCCATCAGTGACAGATTGGATTAAGAAAATGTGGCACATATACACCATGGAATACTATGCAGCCATAAAAAAGGATGAGTTTGTGTCCTTTGTAGGGACATGGATGCAGCTGGAAACCATCATTCTTAGCAAACTATCACAAGAACAGAAAACCAAACACCGCATGTTCTCACTCGTAGGTGGGAACTGAACAATGAGATCACTTGGACTCGGGAAGGGGAACATCACACACCGGGGCCTATCATGGGGAGGGGGGAGGGGGGAGGGATTGCATTGGGAGTTATACCTGATGTAAATGACGAGTTGATGGGTGCAGCACACCAACATGGCACAAGTATACATATGTAGCAAACCTGCACGTTGTGCACATGGACCCTACAACTTGAAGTTTAATAATAATAAATAAATTAAAAAAAAAAAAAAAAAAAAAGAAATGTAAAGACTATACCTTAACACAATTGATAATTGGAATCGTGCTGGCATCTTCTTAACATTTCTTGCTTGTCTGTGGAGCATGGCATGATTACTTATACATTACTACATTTAGGAAACTGCCTTTATAAGACCCACCTTTTCTGAAGTTTTCCCTGTTACTCTTTTCTTACAACCGAGTATGATCTCATTATATTTTGGCCAACTTACTGGAGGGCATGCTAAAAAGTGATCTAAATACTTAATTTCTCCTTTCCAGTTGTGCATGGTGTTTTACAAATAAACCTTATATTTACTTGCATGTCACTGAGAAAATTTGACATCTTTAGCATTCATGATACGTGGCAGGAATTATAAATCTATTTTATAAAACTTCATTAAACATACGAAGAACGTGAAAAAAAAAAAAAAAAGAAAAATGTATCTTAATGCTACTTCAAATAATAGGAAACTTTGATAATTAAAGCCTTTCAGATATTTAATATAATTGACTAAAAATACATCACTCTAAATCATTAAAAAGTCAGGAAACAACAGGTGCTGGAGAAGATGTGGAGAAATAGGAACAATTTTTACACTGTCGGTGGCATTGTAAACTAGTTCAACCATTGTGGAAAACAGTATGGCGATTTCTCAAGGATCTAAAAATGGTTAAAATGGTAAATTTTATATCATGTATGTTTTACCACAATAAAAACAAAACACCATCTGCTTAAAAAAAAAAAAAAAAGAAAGAAATACCATATGACCCAGCCATCCCATTACTGGGTATATACTCAAAGGATTATAAATCATGCTGCTATAAAGACACATGCACATGTATGTTTATTGTGGCACTATTCACAATAGCAAAGATGTGGAATCAACCCAAATGTCCATCAGTGGAAGACTGGATTAAGAAAATGTGGCACCTATACACCATGGAATACTATGCAGCCATAAAAAAGGATGAGTTCATGTCCTTTGTAGGGACACGGATGTAGCTGGAAACCATCATTCTCAGCAAACTATCACAAGAACAGAAAACCAAACACCACATGTTCTCACTCACAGGTGGGAACTGAACAATGAGATCAGTTGGACCGGGAAGGGGAACATCACACTGGGGCCTATTATGGGGAGGGGGGAGGGGGGAGGAATTGCATTGGGAGTTATACCTGATGTAAAGGACGAGTTGATGGGTGCTGACGAGTTGATGGGTGCAGCACACCAACATGGCACAAGTATACATATGTAACAAATTTGCACATTATGTACACATACCCTAGAACTTAATGTATAATAATAATAATAATAAGGAAAAACAAAAACAAGAAAAAAAATACATCGCTTTAGACATGAAATAGCAAAAATTACTCATACATCTTTAATGACCAAATTATTAGCTAATAATTAGCTAATAAATCAAATTATTAGCTAATAAATTTACATGCCTTTCATCATTAAGTTAAACACTGCAAGACAAAGATTATCATTTTTTTATTTTTCAAATGAGGAAAGAGAAACTCTGGGAGGACAGGACACCTGTCAGTGCCACACAGCTGACAGGTGGTAAAACTGGCATATGAGCAGAGATCTTCTAATGCCCATTGGGGTGCATTATCACTTACACCAGAGCTGGCTCAAAAACAATTTTAGAAAAACAAAACAAACCCCTAGATATTAGTTACTCTAAAGATACACCACGTTGACTCTGTTCAGAAAGCAACAGGCTTCACATTAAATAGAGGCTCATTTGTCTAGAAGAATAAGAGGACCAGAGATGCTCAAAAGAAGGAATAAAAATTAGAGTCCTCTCCTCTGCATCACCATATAGTGAAAGTTGTCAGCATTATTGAGGAAAAGGTCAATTTCAGATAATTTACTGGAGAGAACTTGAGAATATGTGGCTTCTCCACCTCTCAGTCACCTCCAGACATGGCTGCTTCTGTTGTTTTTGGTCTGTCATTGTAAAAAATAATAGAATGCAATAATGCACATCAAGGAAGAGAAAGTGATACACAGAACAACAGCTGTGGATTCAATAGATGATGGGAAGTTAAAAAAATCATTGAATGGACCCAGAGCACAAAACTATCAGTATGTGCAGACTTGAATGGAAACTGATAGTCAGTGGTCATGAAGATCTAAATACAATTAGATTTATACATGTTACTAGATCACCAATGACAAAGTGTGTGTGCAAATCCATGTTCTGAAAAGATATCATAATACTGATTTTACATTGACTAGTGCAGTAATTTCCAGCTTTTTAATTAATAAAAATTTAAGACCCACATATACAGTGTTTTATTGATTATGTTTACAGAGATAATGAAAAATTTACAGAGAATTTTCACACTGATCACATATATTTCTATTCTTTCAATTATTCCCACTTTAGAGAGGAGAAACTGGGCCATGGAGATTCAGTACTTTGGCCAAGGACACAAAGAATACATGTGGACAAGCTGGAGCTGGAACCAACAACTGTTGCATCTTGCTGCCTTCTCTCTATCCTAAAAATTCATTTCAACTATATCACCAAGAACTACTGAAATTCAATATTTCAGGACTGATCTAATTAGTGACTTTCAAAACAAACATTAATTTAGTTAATAATTCCAGCACCAGTTGAGTAAAATGTGGGTCCGAAGAGTTTGGTTTTATTACCTTTAAATTGTGAGTCCAGGTCCTCATGAGCCCTTTATCCAGGGCGAAGAGAAGCAGTAATTTACTGCCTGACTCATGTAGCTATAAACTCTAAAAACCAAACTAGCTTAGAGCAATAAATTTACTCCTCAAGAGACAGTTGTCCTTGCTCTGCTCCTCCTTTCTTCGGCTAAGGTAGGGCTCCTGCCTTGACAGTTTCTTTAATAGAATGAAAGAAATATAGACAATTTAGAGACAAAAGGGGTCTCTGACACCAACTAATCTAAATTGTGTGTGTGTGTGTGTGTGTGTGTGTGTGTTTTGTTTAGAAATTGGCACTTGGTGACTCAGTGAATTACAGTGTCATTAATGCATCAATACAAGATTTTGCATTAGAATCCAAGTTTCCCTCCTTGCTGCTTCAGTGACGTCTCACATGTCATCCTACAGAATCCCCACCTCAATCCAAATGATCAATAGGGTATCAACATTAAGCCTTCTACAGTCACAGAATGATGCTAATCTCAGCTTTGCTAGAGTGGTGAATTCGAGGGTTTTTAAAGAAATTAATAAGGTTAATTTTTACAGCAGCTTTAAGTTCCCAGCAACACTAAGTGGAAAGTACACAGTTCCCACTAACTCCTTCCCAGCACCAACACATAGTCTCCCACAATCAACAACCTTGTTAGTGAGGTTCATTAATTATGGTTAATAAATCAACAATCAGATATAATCGTCAACCAAAGTTCATAGTTTACAAAGGATTCACACTTTGTGTTGTACATTCTATAGATTTTGACTAGTGTATAATGCCATATATCCACCACCGTAGCATCACACAGAATCGTTTCACTGCCTAAAAATCTCAGTGCTCTGCCAATTTGTTTTGTTTTTTTTTTTTTTTTTTTTTTTGAGACGGAGTCTCACTCTGTCGCCCAGGCTGGAGTGCAGCAGCGTGATCTCGGCTCACTGCAAGTTCTGCCTCCTGGGTTCACACCATTCTCCTGCCTCAGTCTCCCAAGTAGCTGGTACTACAGGTGCCCGCCACCACACTTGACTAATTTTTTGTTATTTTTAGTAGAGATGGGGTTTCACCGTGTTAGCCAGGATGGTGTCGATCTCCTGACCTTGTGATCCACCCGCCTCAGCCTCCCAAAGTGCTGGGATTACAGGCATGAGCCACCGCGTCCGCCCTCTGCCTATTCTTTAGGCCTTTCCCTGCTAGTCTTTGGTAACAAGTGAACATTTTAGTGTTGCCATAGTTTTGTCTTTACTAGATTATTATATAGTTGGAATCACACAGCATGTAGCCTTTTCAGGTTGGTATCATTCATTTACTAATATGCATAAGATTTCTCCATATCTTGTCATACCTCAAAAGCTTATTTCTTTTTACTACTAAATAATAATAAAACAGTATTTCCTTATACTGATGTACCACATTTGTTTGTCTATTCATCTGTTGAACATCTTGGTTGCTTCCAATTTTGGCAACAATGAATAAAGGTCCCGTGAATGTCCATGTGCAAGTTTTTGTGTGGACATAATTTTTCAACTCATTTAGCAAATATCAAAAGCACACCAGCTGGATCATATGGTAAGCATATTTTTGTTTTGTAAGAAATCACCAATTTCTTATTGTTGAGCTTTAAAACATCTTTGAATATTTTAGATAATAATATTTTACAAGATATATTTTTTGGAATTATTTATTCTCATCG